CATGCAATCTCACACCTCTGTTTAACTTTATATCTTTCTTAAAAACGTCTGTTTGTTCACCTTTTACTCTCTCCTGATCTCTTATTTGGGTTTAATTTAAAGTATTTTATTAAACCGTCATGACTTTAAAGCCCTTTATCAGTAAAGTCACATTGTACATCGTTTAAATCAGGAAAAAAAAAAAAATACATTCAAAGTTGTTTATTGAATACAATCCCAAAGTCCACATTTTAAAACTATATTTTTAATGTCGAAAATGGCGGCACATTACATTTATTACCAATGTTATTCCAAGGAGTCTGAATCCCTAAAAGATGAATGGAATAATTTTCTTTTTTCTGTCCGATTCAACATTCTGAGCTGAAGTCTTCACCTTGGCACAGAAACGTCTTTAAGAGCTTCTAATTTTCACGGAAAGATGAACTAATAGGTTTTATGTGTTCAACATTATGAGATAATGACAAATAAAGCTGCTTATAACTCCCATTTTAGTTTGGCTCCTTTAACAAAACAATTCAACACAGAAAAAAATGGCATGTACCTGGAGACTTAGAAAATAATAATATCAATTATAATACATCCAGTAACGATAAACAAAATCCTACTAAGAGTGCATTTCCTCTTTGTCTCTGTTGACAAGTTGAAACACTTAAAGGATGGCACCAATATGATGAGGGATATAAAATGTTACTGCACTTTGGTCCCGTTCTAAGAAAGGACTTGATGTTATTAAAATGAATTATTGACTCCAGAGGAAGTTTGGAAAGACGACAGAAACCGTTCAGCCTTTGAAAGCTGGAGAAAGTCAAACAATCTGATATGAAGCACGGCGATCAGAAGCAAATGTTTGGAAAAAAACAAAACAAAAAAAAAAAGCTTTGACGATGAGCAAAATTGGCAGTCCTTGCTCTGAAGAGACGAAACGGAACGCAGATGATCATTTTTTGTGGCTAATATGTTGTAACCACTCCCTCAGCATCTGAAAGCTTGGTCGCGCTGCAGGATCCAGGTTCCAGCATTGTTTCATGATGTTATAAACCACTTCAGGACAGCCGTCCGGACAGTCCATTTTGTAGCCCTTCTCCACGCGAGGCACAACATCTTTTAACGGCTGGAGAGAAAAAAACAACAAACAAGGTTAAAAGCAGAGAGAATGAATAAGAAAATATTTTTCCTGCGGTGATTATTATACTTACAATTCTTGGATAGGGGACTCGGCCAAAGGAGTAAATCTCCCATAGTAAAATACCGTAGCTCCAAACGTCCGATTTGGTGGAAAATTTCTGTTGATTACATAAAAAAAAATCAACATGAGCTGATTTTTTTAACTCACTCACATAATAAAGGATTTGCTTCCTTACTTTAATATGTTATTTATTATTTTTTGTTGCACTGTAATGTTTCAGATCATAAAACAAATGATAATTGAAAAAGATGACAAAATAAACACAAAATTTTAACTAATAAGTATTTTTTTATTTCTTATCGGAAAAAAAAGGAAATAAAAGCAACCTTCAATCTGTTTGAAAACATAATTTTTCCTCAATGATTTAGATAGCTTATTCTCCCATAACAAATTACATAGTTTTTACATTTACTCTTACTAAATTAAAAATACGGTTGAAAAACTAAAACACCGAAGTTTGATAAAAAGAAACATAACTTAGCCCTTTAAAGCCCGATCCAAGAATAAAACAAAACAGAAAATTACTTTTTTTTGGTTTGAATTCCTTATTTGCCCTTTTAACGAAATATGTAAAAAGAAAAAACAGAAATACATTTTTGATATTAATAATTTATTACTATGCGATAAGTCAAGATTATTTTTTGTGTAGTCTTCTTTTGAGCAAAGTTTTTACCATTAAATTATGCAAAAGGTGTCAGACGCAAAACATTTCAGAAACCGTATGTATCAAATATGATACATTTGGCATTATAGGGTTAGGTAAAACAGACACTGGTACTTGAGTAGGGTGAGTAGTGTTGCCAAATTCCTGAAAAATTAGAGGCATTACAGGCTAACAAAAGAAGCCAAACGACCTCCATTCCAAAGGGTTGGACCCGTTCGTCTGTTTAATTTGCATGTTTTCTAAACAAAAACAAGGCTTTGTTGGGCTACTGTATAAATCCTGGAACTCAACGCTATTTCTGACATTCTGAATTGAAAAAGTTTCCTGGATGGGAAGAGAAACGTCTTCAAACTTTTTCCAAAAAGGTAAAAAAACAATCCACTGGACTTTGTTTCCAAGTAGTTTTTTCTTTAAACTTGGAAACAAAGTCCATTAGTTTGTTTTTAACCTTTTTGGAAGTTTATTTCTTAAATTAAGCGTATTTACCCTTGATTTGAGTAGGTAAATGAGATAGTTTGCCAATGGAATCAGTATTTTTACTCTTAAAATAAGATAATTATATAGTATTCACTTGAAATAAGAGAATGCAATTGTGTTTTCTTATTTTAAATCTAAATTGTCTTGTTCCACTGGCAAGATGTCTCTTTTATCTCCTCAATTCAATAACAAATGCACTTATTTCAAGAAAAAATGACTTATCGAGATTTAGTTTTTTGCAGTGCATCTTTTTTTACATTTCTATTTTCCATTTCTATATATTTTATTCAAAATTCTTCACTAAGTGCAAAGTGAAACCAAAGTTAAATTCCTTGTTTTTTCTGACAAACTGGGAAAATAAAGCCGATTCTCAGAAGGGGAGAAATGCTTCTGCACGCTACTGTGGTCTGATTTATACGGCCAGAGTGATCATCCATCAGATTACCTTTTCTCTGAGGGCTTCTGGCGCCGTCCATTTAACAGGAAGCTTAGCAGTATCTTGAGTAGAGGAAGCCTCTTTGGTCAAACCAAAGTCACTGACTTTGGCGATGTTGTCGTCCGACACAAGTACGTTTCTCGCTGCTAGATCTCGATGAACAAAGTTGTTGGCCTCCAGATAAGCCATGGCTTCACAGACGTCTCTGCAAAAGTAAAGCTCAGTTGATACACAGTAACTGATAACCCAGTTCTTAACATGATGATTTATAGTTTTATTAATATCCAAAAGCTGATTTTTGGTATCAAGGTATCCGCTGGTTTCATTTCCCTTCATGGTTTAGATTCATTCATCTACTAATTTATCAGATGGTTTCTTTCTTTAAAATCAATCTACACATAGATTATGTTACCTTGTGCATGTAGTCATACTGCTAATCAGTTTTAGAAGCAAATCAACCAGAGAATATTGCATTATAAAAAATGATGTTAATCTAAACGAAGGAACAAACAGCAGCTTAATGCATTGGAAGGTTAGGACTGAATAAAAGTTGTGAAATTGCAGAACGTGAGACTATTCCTGTTACTTTAATAAAGAAATGTCCATAAATTCCTTTCATATTTAACTGTAAGTCTTGGCTCAGATGTTGTAGATGTCCTTCCTTCAGCTTCTCATAATAATTTTCTGTAATTTTGTCGGGTTTGTAGAATGCATTGCTAACATAAGCTCAGAAACAGTGACGTTTTTGCCATTAGGCCCCATTTAGCAGGACTCTAAGGGTCAGTGATTTATTTTTCTGATGTAATTATAAGTTCAAAGAAGTCAAAGAAGATGAAGTTGCTAAATTATTTCCAAATAATTGCATCAACCTTCTGCAGCAAAACATCCTTAAAATATGATGCTGCTTGACCTTTACTTCCCAGTTGGTTTGGCGTTCTCAGGGTGGTTAGCTCCCCCCTCTGTCCTAAAAATACTATTATCTTTTATTGTAAGCTTTTTATGTTGGTATTTTTGGAATGGAGTCTTCGTCTCTGAGTGGCCTTTTAGTCCATATTTCAGAGGAGGACTCATTTTACTTTAGAGGACTCCCTACTAAGCAGCTTCTAGAAGCATCTTCACATGGTTTTCTGCCACCTTCCTGAAATCTGCATTTCCATGGTGTTTTTACACTGGAAAAAATCAAAATCTAGATAAGTCACTTTTTCTTAAAATAAGTGCATTTGTTCTTGGATTGAGGGGGTAAAAGAGACATTTTGCCAATGGAACAAGACAATTAACACTTTAAATAAGAAAACACAATTACATTGTCTT